GGTGCCCCTGGAGAGGCTCCTGGGCTCCTCCACGGTCCTCCCTCCCCCACAACCCGCCTCCCACTGAAAGCTGAGCCTGGCTGTGGCTTTCCCCGCTCTGCGAGCCCCTCCATTCTGCCCACCCTCTCCGCGGGGCTCTGGGAGCCCCTGACAGGTTGGCCCTGGCCTCCCTTTTCAGACTCTGCTCCCACCAGACGCTTCCCGTCCCGTGGACATCGTGAACACTCTCACCTCTGTCCTTGGTTCAAGCCAGGCCAGCCCCTGGATGCCCCCCTCAGCCCCCATCGACGCCTTACACATTCCTACCATCCTTCTAGACCTAGTTCAAGGCCCACTCCTTGCTCAGAGCAGACTGGCTTTCTCCTGTCTGGGTCCTCTTACAGCCTCTGGGCCAGTGTGATAGAGCACCCAAATCTGCTTGCGACCAGAGCTCCTGTGTCCCCCGGCTTCTCTCACGGGACTGTGAGCCTGGAGGGCAGGGAGCATTTCCGTGTTTCCTCTGTCTCTTGACCACATCTCTTGGTCTCCACTGTGCCCCATCTCTGTCTTCCCACTGTTCTCTCTTTCCGAAATCCTTCCTTCCCATCTGGCTTTCCCATCGGTTCCCTCTTCCCCTGCCCCACTACTGGCCCCTCCATCAGTCAGGAAGGCCTGCGCTGTGCTGGATCCATGAAGATCCTCCTGGATGTGGGGGTGTCGAAGCTGCAGGGTGGAGCCTCCTGCCCCTCGCTGTGTCCCCAGCTGTTGGCCCTGCTGCCTGCTGAGTGGCCTTAGAGAGTCTCATTGCCAGGCCCACAATTGACCCACTGGGGCCCATCTCCAAGTGTAGTCTTCCTTCTGTACCTCTCTGGGAGTGGATCCATTGACAAGGAGGCTGCAGGGGACCAGTGGAGCAGTCTGAACCAGAGTTCAGACCCAGAACAAACCCCATGGCCATGCAGAAGAGCAAGGATTGGCAGTTCGGGCTGTCAGGGAGTCCCAACCAGGAGCAGCCTCCATAACCTGAGCTGTGGAGGCAGATAGTTTGGAAGAGGCATGGAGGCTCTTGGGCCCCCGGGATACCATCAGATGGTCCTGCCAAGGCTTTCCAGCTGAAGAATCAGATCTGTTCTCTTGGCAGGGACAGACACTGGCCAGAAAAGAGGCCCAATAAGACCCACAATACATACCTCAAAATAGCAGAGTCAGCTCAAGGGGCGAGGGGAAGGAGAAACCAGCCCCAGTCCTGGCCTCAACATTGATTTGCTTTGTGAGCCTCAATTTCTTTATCTGTACAATGGGGTGTGGGTTGATAGCCAAGACAGATATCTGGATAAACATCCAACCCGTGAGACCATGGCTGTCACTGTGGTATGGATGGGCTCACTTGGGTCATTTAGTAACTGAGGGGTCGTGGATGCCCAGTGAGAAAGGGGCAGAGCAGGACCCTGGCTGGCTGAGCACAGAACAGCTATGGGAGTCCGGCAGTCAAATCACAGTGGTTAAGACCCCAGACTGTGGTGTTCAAGGAGATGGGGTCCAAATCTAGTCCTCCCTGTCTTCTGGAGGTGTGACTTAACCTCAGTCTCAGTTTCTGGACCTGTAAAATGGGGCTATGATTCTTAGTTCATCCTGTTGTGGTGAGACTGGAATAAGGTATCTTAGGTAAAGCATTTAGACCAGTGTCAGGCATACACTAAACACTTGATTAATGTTGACTACTACTATATTGTAATAAGAGAGGACTATGTATTTAAAAGTCATCTTAGAACTTTCCTGGTGGTCCAGTGGCTGGAACTCTGTGTTCTGTGTAGGGAGACCAGGTTCAATGCCTGGTTGGGGAACGAGATCTTGCATGTAGCAGCTAAGACCTGACGCTGCCAAATAAATAAATAGATACATATTTAAAAATAAAATAAAAGTCATCTTGTACCGTTAGGGCCAGCATAGTAAATGGCTGCCTTAAAAGTGATAGACTTCCAACGCCCGGTTGACCCACCCAGGGTGAAATAGCCTGAGAAAATGCTCATATAACCAGGCTCTGGGTCCCCTAAAAATTTATGCTTCTTTTTCAGATGACATAAAAATTATGTGTTGCCTATAAAAATTGGAAAACACATACACACATACACAAAATATGAACGTGAAATGAAGTGTTAGTCACTCAGTCGTGTCCAACTCTACAAGCCCATGGGTTGTGGCCTGCCAGGCTCCTCTGTCCATGGAATTCTCCATGCAACAATATGGAGTGGGTAGCCATTCCCTTCTCCAGGGGATCTTCCTGACCCAGGAACTGAATCCAAGTCTCCTGTATTGCAGGCAGATTCCTTACCATCTGAGCCACCAGGGAAGCCCAAAATACTGAAGACAAAGTATGGAAGAAAATAAAAATCACCTGCCCAGTTAGGTCTGGATTTGAATCTCAGCTCTGCCATTTATGTGACTGGGGAATGTTTAACGGTTCTGATCCTCAGGTTTCCCATTTGTAAAATGGGGATAAATCATGCCCATATCAAAGGGTAATCATGAGGATGAAGTGAAATAATATGAGTAAAATGTCACCACACCTAGAACAAGAAAGAATTACCATATGGATCCAGACACTCAAGAAGAACCACTGTTCACACTTTTTGTATTTTCTTTTAGCTTTTTTCTATGCCCATATGATGTATATATAATATTAACATACACATATATATTTGTTAATTTGAGACCGTATTGCCTATTCTTTTTATGTTAATATCATGAGGTGCTAACACAAGGGGGAGGGTATCTGATTTTGAACCTAGGTATATTTGACTCAAATGGTTTCCTTTCTTTTTTTTTAAATACTTATTTTATTTTCCACTTTTGTCCATGCCACATGGCATATGGGATCTTAGTTCTTCAGCCAGGGATTGAACCTGCACCTCCTGCAGGGGAAGCACAGACTCTTAACTCTGGACTGCCAAGGGACGTTCCTTAAATGTTTTCCTTAATCGTTGTGTTTTAGTAAAGACACTGTTGCCCCCATCCCCCACCCCGTAGTGTTTCTCGACACTTTTTCTATTATTGTGCTTCCTCCCCAAGAAGACCTTTTACAACTTTTCCCCCTAATTCCCTTCCTTAGTGCATTTCTTTAAAAATGCTTTATTTTGATGAATTATTGATTCACACAAAGTTGTAAAAGATAGTAGAGTGGTTCTGTATGCCTTTCATCTAGTTGCCCACATATACCTTATGTTACATATACCTTATGTAACTATAATACAACATCAAAACCAGGAAGTTGACATTGGCACAATGTGTGTGTATAAGTTCTCTGTTCTTTATCACCTGTTGAATTGTGCAGCTCCCACCACAATCAAAACACAGAACTGCTCCATCACCTTGAAGACCTCCTTGAGGTTCTCCCTTTAAAGTCATACCCACCCCTCCCCCTTTCACCATTTCTAACCCCCAGCAACTACTGTTCCATTTTCCATCTCCATAATTTTGTCATTTTGAGAATATTATATAAATGGAATCAATAGTATGTGACTTTCTGAGACTGACTTCACCACCCCGCCCCACCGCCACTCATCATAATACACATGAGAGCTATCCAAATTGCTGCATGTATCAATGTTTCATTCCTTTTTATTGCTGAGTAAGCTTCCTTAGTGGCTTAGCTGGTAAAGAATCCACCTGCAATATGGGAGACCTGGGTTCAATCCCTGGGATGGGAAGATCCCCTGGAGAAGGGAGTGGCTACCCACTCCAGTATTCTGGCCTGTAAAGTCCATGGGGACACGACTGAGCGACTTTCACTTTTCAATACTCTATGGTGTGAATGGACGGCAGCTTGTTGACCATTAACCCACGGATGGACATTGAGGCTGTTTCCAGTTTTGGCTATTAGAGACAAAGTTACTATGAACAATCATGCATAGATTTTTATGTGGACATAAGTTTTCATTTACCTGGGATAAATGCCCAGCAGTGCAACTGCTGGGTCTTATAGACTGAGCGACTTTCATAGTAGTTGTACAGTACAGTTTTTTTTTTTTTTTGTCTTAAAAGAAACTGCCAAACTATTTTCCAGAGTAGATGTATCAGCAGTGAATGAGAGATCCAGCTTCTCCACATCCTTGCCAGCATTTGGCCTTGTCACTTTTGTTACTTTAGCTATACTAATAGAGGTATAGTGATATTTTATTAATACCACAGGTATACTGTGTATCTGTTTATGTTATATATATATGCATATACACAGATATACTATACATATTTATATATACATATATGTGTGAGTGCTCAGTCGCTCAGTTGTTTCTGACTCCTTGTGACCTCATGGACTGTAGCCTGCCAGGCTCTTCTGTCCATGGGATTCTCCAGGCAAGAACACTGGAGTGGGTTGCCGTTTCCTTCTTCAGGGCATCTTCCTGACCCAGGGACTGAATCCATGTCTCCTGTGTCTCTTGTACTGGCAGGCAGATTCCTCACCACTGAGCCGCCTGGGGATCCCATACACACATATATATATACATACATAAAAGAGTAGAAGATTTTTCAATCTCTCTCTCCCAGTCAAGAACCTATTTTTACCTTCTTGGGGATGGCATCACCGCCATGCTTCTCCCAAGCCTTTTAGCTAAGAGAAGGCACCCAGGGTTTGCTGAGACACTTTAATTGCTGAACCAACACCCAGGCATCCGGGGAAGCAGCTGGTGTGGACAGGTTTGGTGTAGCCATTGTTTGAAGAACAAGGCCATAGCCTTGATCAAATGAATTAAATACTTTGACCCCAGGGTGAACTGCTTCGTCAGAGGCACTAGGATGGGGACCCCAGCAAGAAGTGGAGCATAAAGAGCCTCCGTTCTGAGTTCAGGTTCATCTCAAAGCAGGGTGGCCTCCAGTAGCTAGTGGTACCTGAAAGATGCTCAGGCTGTGAGCCCTGCATTTCAGGGGGCTCTACAGAGCCCTGCATCCCACTGCCCTGACAAGAGCCCACAGCACCCCCTAACCCCCCAGCCCCCCGCCACCCCTAAGCCCTGACTCACCCAAGCCAAAATGAGCCACGGGCTCCATCTCGCACAGGTAGCCTGAGCCCCCATCGATGATCCTCAGGTGCGCCCCGCTCTTCTTGGTGTAGAGCACGACCTTGGCACCCCTGGCAAAGGCCCCAAACCGGGTTCGTGGCACCACCCTCAGCCAGTTGTTGCTGAAGCCCTGTAGCGGGGGAGGAATGCAGGTCTGGGCATCAGCCGGGTGGGTGGAAGGATCAGAGAGGAGGAAGGGGGGGAGAAGAGAAGGGGCAGAGGAAAGAGAGGAGGAGGGAGCCAGGCAGGGAGGGTGAACAAGGCGGACTGACTGATTGAAGCTTGCCAGGAGCAGCTCTGCAGAAGAGCAGGGAAAACCAATTGGTGTCTTATTGTTTAGTCACTTAGTCGTGTCTGTCTCTTTGAGATTCGTGGACTGTAGCCCGCCAGGCTCCTCTGTCCATGGGATTTCCCAGGCGAGAATACTGGAGTGGGGTGCCGTTTCCTTCTCCAGGGTTTCTTCCCAAAAATAGGCTCAGGGAAAACAGTTTTTGGAGATGTGCCAGTGGAAGGAGAGGGGCAGAAGACTTCTCTGAGAAGCAGCCCTATTCAGGCGCTTACTGAGTGTCTGGGACCTCATCTGCTTCCTTCCTGGGATGTCCTGCCATTCTGGTCAAACAAGCACCCCAGCCTCCTCTGTTCTGTTCCTCTGTTTATCCCAGGCCCAGGGGAGCATGCCAGGCACGGCTCTGAGGGTCCCCAGGTCTAGGCACACCTGATTCCCCCGGAAGACGGACAGCGGCTGAGCCATGGACTCTCCGTGGGACAAGATGAGGTCCAGCATCCCGTCTCCATCGAAGTCGGTCACCACGCCCCCTGCAACAGCACAGATTTCAGTCTGGCCATCAGTCAGGAGACCAACATGGGGAGGGCTCCTGACCTGGGCCAGTCCACGCCCTGAGTGTGAAGGAAAGAGCACAGCGCTGGGGCATGAAGGCTGGACCATGAAGCTCCTCTCCTTCTAATAGCTGCTCATGATAGGAATTTGTGGAAATCGGGCGGGGGTCCCTTTCCTTCCCCTGGACTTTTGCAAGGAGAGTGTGGGTGCAAACAACTTGGATGCTGAGGGCTTCTGTCTGGTCTGTTATACATAATATAGATACGTGCACAGTTTTTATCAGTTATCATGTGTTTGCATATACTGGTCTCCTTTTTGTCCTCACCACAACCCAGAGACATGAAGAAGGCACATGCAGTTATCCCCATTTCATGGGTGTGGGGAACAAGACCCAGAAGATGGAGCACCTTCTCCAAGACAATGGCAATGGCAGGGCCAGGTCTTAGGCCTCCTGGTCCAGTGCTCTTTCTCTGCTACCAGCCTGAATGCCAGGAGGTGTCAGACTGCAGGACCCCCAGCCTCTCCTTTCTTTCCCCTCGCGGCACAGCATCAGCAGAGACACTACTGCCCATGGCTCCCCATGCCTGTGACCCCACAGCCCTGGGGCTGGGACAATGGACATTTCCCTCCTCTGCTTCCGGCCTGGCACTCCCAGGCCCCTCCTAGCCCGGGGCTCAGCCTTCAGAGTGGGTGGGGACAGGACAAGCCCGGCTATGGGGCTGGCTGCAGCGTCCCCGCTAAGGGCAGCAGTGAGCTGGGGGAGAGCAGGCTGGAGCCTTCAGGTGTCCTCACCTGTGCCCCGGCCTTCAGGCTCCAAGGCATCGCCAGGGTTGAGCTCCTCAATGAGGGGGTCGCCGTGCTCCCTGCGGATGATGCTGCAGGAGAGGAGACAGGTGGTTCACAGAGGACCACACCTGGCAAAGCCCCGTGGGCCCTCTGGACCTGGGAGTCCACTAACTCCATTCTCCATGCCCTGAGCACCCCGAGACCCCGCTACCTGCACACTGACAGAGCCACTCTGCTTACAGACCCTGTCTATACCCTGGCTGTGCCTTTCTCGGGTTTTAATTTATGTTGGTAAATATTGATTTTTCCTTCTCTAATGGATGAATTATAGACAACCTGGGGAAGGGCAGGTGATGGATGCAGAAGGGGCAGGGACACAGCTACCTTCAACTGACCTTCACTTTCCTTCACGTGGCCCTGGGTTTTCGAGTTCTGGATGCTGCGCAGGGTCTCACCCCACCCCAATGCCACCTCCTCCACGCCCTCCCTGATCGTCCAGCTAGAAGCAGTGTTTTCCTGCTCTGCCTCTGTCACTTTCCTGGCCTTTAACACTTTCTGCCTCAGGTTGAAGCTCTGCATGAATGTATCTTATCTCCTCAGTTAGACTGAGTTCTTTGCAGGCTGGGACCATGTATTCTTCTTTGCATCTCCTGCAGCATCTAACAGTGCCTGGTTTTCAGGAAGCTCCAAGTGCATGTCTGTGGCCTGCATGGAGGAATTTCAGAGGCAAAAGGGAGGGAAGGGTCCCTTTGGGTTGCTGGGGTTCTATTTTGCACTCTGAATCATGGTAACATTTGCTGAAACAAGTCCTCGGTGAAAGTGCTGCTCTTCTTGCACTTTGAGCTGAATGCTGACGATGGCCTTGAGCTTCCTCTCCAATTTTTCTCCCTCGTTAGGGTCTTGCAGCCTTGGGTGCTCTGCGCTGGCTGTGTGGAGCAGTTTTGGGGTTAGGGTCAGGGAAGGACCAGGAGGGATCTATATCGCTCTTCCCACACATTGCAGGTGGGGCTTGTTGCTCCAATCACAGGGTCACCAGAGGGCTGTGCTGTAGCCAGTGCTTTCTTTCAGGAGGAGGCCAGGGTTCCCTGAGCTGGAGCTTCCGGGGGCTGGATGGCAGAGGGGGCTGGCAGAACTGCAGGGTGGGTGTAGGCTAGAGCACGTACCTGAGACGTGTTCTCTGTCCACACACGGCAACTGCACTGAGTACAACCCCGTGTGCAGCCTGGCCAGCGAGCAGCATGCCTGGCAGTGTGCACGCCTGCTAGGTGTACATGCCTCAGCCCGCTAGCACCCACGGTCCCTTTGGCCATTCGTGTCCTATAACCTCTGTCACCACTGGGCAGAGACACCCCGGGGTTCAGGTGACAATGCAGTTAAGGGTTCCTGGGGGAGAAAGCCCAGAAGTTCCAGTGCAGAGCTGGGCAAACTCACCCAGATTTGGGCAACCAGGGCAGGCTTCTCGGAGGAAGGATCAACAAAGCTGAAACCAGAACGATGTTCATGTCACTCAGAAGAGAAAGAGGGGCAGAGGGTGTGGGCAGCCTGAGAGTCCAGGCCCGGCCCAGCCCAGAACTGAAGGAAGCTCAGGGTGTCTGGCCCTAATGTGTTACCAGGAAATGGAGAGTGACAAGGCTGGGGACAAAGGAAGCCTACGGGATGTGTCAAAGAGAAGGTGGTGGCGGTGGGGGCTTCTAAGGGGTTTAAGTGTAAGAGGGGTGTGGCCAGAATTGCATTTTCAACAGCGTGCTCTGTGGAACTGGGCACAGAATGGCAGCTAAGGAGCGGGAATGTGCAGGGGTGGAGCCATGGGGACGGATCAGCACGTTAGGCGTGTAAATGGTGCCACTACACACATCCCGCCTGGCCGGAAAGAGTCCTCGCTCCAGCCCGTGGTCCTGCCATTATTAACAGGGGCCCTGCATGCTTGTTTAGCCCCTGGTGTGGGCGATGAGCTCCCTGGTTTCCCAGGCATCACTGAAGGGCTTGTGGACTCAAGCCCAGTGAGGTTTTGCATCTCCAGGGACTCCTACAAGGAGCCCACCACGTTCATTTCAGCAATAGGTGAAAAGCCCGCTTGGTGTGGGGTAGACGGGGGCTCAACTTCCAGAGTTGCCAGCTGAGTGGTAGCCCCAGCCACCTGCCACAGGGACTCGGGGCACAACCACGTATCTGGGAAGTGGCTTTCTTGCTGCTGCATGGAGGTGGACACACTGACCCACAGGGTGACCATGTGCTGGGGTGACCATGTGGTGACCATGTCTGTGGACAGCCCGGGCCAGCCTGCCCTCGGGATGGCCAGAGGGAGGCTGGGGATTTGATGGAGGCCATGTGGGCAGGGGAGATGGCCTGGGTTCTCGGGCCACAGAGACTCTCTGGTGCTCAGGGGACCGGGTGAGGGACACTTTATTAACCAGAGAAGGAAAGCAGTGTCTCTGTTAATGAGCAATTGATCTTCTGCAATTAATCTGGAAGTTGTGAATAAGCTTTTTGTGAGGCACCTAATTAGTAAATCTGGAGCCTTCGGGGGGTGATTACAGCCGGTCGGGATTGATGCTTTGTTAATAATTATATTTTAAAACACGCTCAGTCACAGCCCTCGCCTTTTATTAATAGTTGGGGGCCCTCCTGGGGGAGGGGGCGGGGTCTTGGGGAACCGAGCAGATGATGTGGCCCATTTCCTGCATCCAAGGCTCTGGGCCACCGCCCTCTCCCCACCTGGTCCTGAGCCCATTAGCATGTTTCAGGCCATCTCAGGCCACATTGGTCCTGAGGTTTGTTCCCCAGCAGCAGCTCTCCAATCTCAATGTGCTAAGAATCACCTCATGCCTAGCATATGTGTTAAAAAGACAGATGTCTGGGCCTCAACCCTGGAGATTCAGACCCGGGAGATCTGGGCTGGGCCTAGGGATTCTGTATTTTAAATAAGCACTCCAGGTGGTTCTGACACCAGTGGTCTCTGGGCCCCAATTAGAGAAGTGCTTCCTTGGAAAATCTAACCCCTCCTCCTTACGTGCAACACTCAGATGCTTCCACTCTTGTCCACCACTAATTGTCTCATCCAACGTTTCCCAAAGGATATTTTGCAGAGCACCAATCCTAAAAGCAGAAACTCTGAAGGCAGTGCCCTGTGGTCAAATCTATTTGGAATACTCCATCCACCTCTCAGAGCGTAAGATACTCAAGGTCATGTTAAGGTTCTGAGAGGTCCTGTAGTCAATACACCTGTCTTGGCTTCATCCAGGTGTACCCAAACAGATTTGGCTCTGGGACCCCTTTGGATGGTAGAGTGGAACCTGACTTCTGTGTACACTTTGCCCATGTCCCCCCCACCCCCACCCATTTCCACCCTCTGCTAACAGCAGGAGTTCAGCTTCCTGCCAGGGATTCTCCATTCATTCTCTCAACTTCTTACTCAATTCCTGTCCTTCCCTCTTCTCTGCTCCTTCACTGGGGGACCTGCCTCCTCCCTCTCTTTGGAGCTCCTCCTCTGAGTCCTAAACCTTCCTCCCTGACCCCACTGCGAAGGGTGGGTAGCCACAAGCTGGGCTGAAGCATCTACCGGAAGAGGCGGTTGGCTGAGGAGCTGCGGTGGGCGAAGTTGTTGAAGAAGACCTCCAGCTCCTGGTCATTGTCAAAGTCAGCGGCGATGACTGTGCGGACCGGGGAGGGCATGGAGAACTTGGGCGAGGCGATGTCCTGGGGGAGAGAGGGCTACAGGTCAGTGGACAGAGTGGGCCAGAGGCTGACTCCCACCACCCCTGTGTGTGCATGTGTGTGCGTTCCTGTTTGTGTGCAAAGATAAAAACCCAAGCTAGCACATCCTCTATCATCTTTCCCGTAAGGGCCCCAGGGTGCTGTGTTTAGGACCACACGAACCCCAGGGTGCTTGTAGGAGAACAAGGAGGTAAGAGGAACAGTCCAAATTTACACCAGGGAAGCGCCTTGCTGTTCCCTGGTCAGGACCAAACGTGGCCCTCCCATAGGTCACTTGAGGCAGGGCTGACATGAGCATTCCCATTTCACAGGCAAGGTAACTGAGTCCTGGAGAGGAAGGAAATTGCCCATTGTTGTAGCTAATGAGCCGGGCCACCACCTGGCTCTTACACCAGCTGCTAGGCCCTTTCTAGTACGTGCCCTTCCTCTTCCACAGCCAGAGGCACAGGCTGGGTGGAACCTAGGAAGTCCTGTGCATTGAATCCAGGCCTCTTTGCTGACTCGCTGTGTGATCTCAGGCAAGTTACTTAACCCCTCAGATCTCACCTTCCTCCTTAGTAACACGGGGATAAGTAATAGCTGCTCAGGCTGTGAGGACTGCATGTAAAGAGCTTGGCAGAGTGGGCTCAAGATGAATCCCAAGGGGTCTGTCCTGGCCTCGCCCCTGCTGTCAGCCTCATGGAAAGCGGCAGAAGTGGCCTTCAGCTGGGTATTGCTGCCTCTATTACCTTTTTTCTTGGAGTCTTTTGATTTTTTTTTTTCCTTGAGACATCCACTTTGGGACTTGCAGTATCAGATACCTCTGCCCAGGGCTCATGAGGAGACCCCAGACCCAGGACAGCCCAGCAGGGACCTTGGAGTGCTGACAGGACCTTGGTGGACCTGGCAAAGGGTCCCATCTATGGGACTTTTAAATAGAAGAAGAGCTGTGTCAGGAGATCTTTTTTTTCCTGAACAGAATATCCATTCTAGGTGGGTTTGTCACTTAAAGACTTAGAAACCTGTCTAAATCCCAGGGCCCATGTGGGGTGAACTGGGAAGGGCACATGGGGGCTTCTTGGGGTGGCCCCCTGCCCCTTGGCCCCAGGGCTCCTACTTCAGGCTCTCTCCCCTGGTGGCAGGAATGAGCTGCTTGCTCTGGGTTGCCCAGGAAGGGAGGCTGTCCCCATCAATACAGTCATGAGGCTGATTGAGAGCCTGGCCAGCTGTCGAGGGTGGGCTGAACAGGGCCATGAGAGCTGGTAACAAAGAGACTTCAGGACCTTGAAGTTGTTATTATTCTATTGATTCTGTAAAAATGGAAACCTACATAGGCCCCTTGGGGTTGCCCCAGCTGGATGCCTGAGCTTCCAAGATAATGTATGTAAGATGCTTAGCACAGCTCCTGGCACACGAAAGGCACTTGATAAATGGGGCCTCTATTATTATTATTATTATTGCTCCTGTGAGCTCTGGGCTGGGCTGTCGAGAGGGTTGGTTGACATTTGGGGCTGGATCACTCTTTGTTGCAGACTCTCAGGTGCCTCATAGGATGTTTAGCAGCACCCAGTCCTCTGCACATGATGCCAGTAGCACCTGATCCCACCTGTGACAACTGATAATGTCCCAGGACATCATCAAATGTCCTGGGGTGGGGACAAAATCACCCCTGGTTGAGAACTGGGTTAGAATAAAAAGCTGAACAGAGATGAAAATCACCCAGGATCCTAGGATCAGCTGTCCCAAGTTCAGGGTGTCCCTCCGCCCCACCCAGACAGCCTGGGTCTCACGCCTCTGTAGGGAGAAAGCGGCTGGACCTGAACACGCCGAGGTGGCTACCTTCAGAGAGGGGGCTTGTGGTGGCCCCTCAGAGAGAAGGTCCCTGGAGACTTCTCTGGGACCATCAGGTTTCTTGCTCCCTTGGGGGCTTTCGGCAATACTACGTACCTCCAGAGCCATCCTGACTCCTGGAGAGCATCTCTAACCATCCCATGCCCTGCATCACCTTCCCTGAGAAAGGTCCAATCTCAAGCTCATTAGCCTGGTGGCACCTCCCTTCCTGCCACCAAACAGTCTTTCTGAGGAATTCTGGGCATCACAGACCATTGATAGCTCAGAGGAGGGGCACAGAGAGGGGTCTGACATCACCTTGCCCACCACCTGCTGTTTGGCCAGAGGGGGCAGCTATTGGGAGCTCTGTGACCTCAACCTACTCTGACCCTCACTCCCACTGTACCCTTGGCCTGAGCCTCATTTTGAAATGCTCAGGCCCAGGCTATGGGAGAAGTGCTCCCAATTCAGACAATGAAACCCCTCTCATGGGGCCTTTGCCCTGATCCACCTTGGTGGCTGCTCTCTTTCCTCTGCTAATGACCATGCTCTGGACATTATGGATAGCACAGCAGCCCGGGCTGGCCAGATGTCACCTTCGCTGTGGCCACCCTGTCCCCAGGCTCTGCAGAGCCTGCTCACCCTGGTGGGAGTCAAGGGCGGATAGAGGGTGGGGAAGTGGGGGAGAGGCCCCTTCTTACCCGAAAGCGGACCTTCCCGTGGGCGCTCATCTGCAGGTAGAGGCGGTGGGGGCCGTTCCAGTTGCCATAGACGATGTCCACTTTGCCATCACGGTTGAAGTCCGCCAGGGCGACTCCACGCCCGTGCTGATGGGGGTCGTCCACACCTAGGAGGAAAGGCAGGAGCCCTCAGGGGCAGCCCTGTAGGGTCCACAGACACTCGCCTTGGCGGGGGGTCGGGGTGGGGCTGGGGAGGAGTGGAGAACAACCAGGGAGGATGAACCTCATTGTGTCCTGATTCCTCCACAAGGGCAGAAGCAGGGAAGCGGTCTGGTTGCAGAGAGAACCAGAGACTTGTTTTCAGGATGCCTTTGCCCAGAAAGTGTTACTTTTTACTTGGTTTCGGGGTAGCATGACTTTGGGGAAGGAGACTTGTGGAGATCCTGGAGGACTTAAAGCCTTCCCCAGCCACCCCTGACGTGGGGATACATTGAGTTGATCATCACTCTTTTGCTTAAATCTCAGTGATTCCCCAGTGCTCTTGAGTCAAGTTCAAATTCCTGCCCACCTTATCTGTCTTTATCTCGCCTTCCTCACAAGCACCAGTCATACAGGATTCCTTTCATTCCTCAAATGAACCAAGCTCTTTTCAGCTTCTGGGCCTTTGCTCAAGCTGCTCTCTTCTCCTAGAATGCTCTTTCCCCAGCTTATGGTTACCTGGCTCCTTGTTTCTCTTCTGCTCTCAGCTATAATGTCACCTCCTCAGGAAAGCCTTCCCTGATCACTCCCATAAAAACAGCCCCTCCCACCCACCCTGCTATTCATCCCAACAGCCTCCCATTCTCCTCCATTGTGCGGATCACAGGTGCAATTATGTTCCATTGCAGGGTCCAGTTTTTCTACTAGACCTTCTGGTCCATGAGGTCAGGGTCTGTCTTCCTGTTCATCTGTGTTTCCATAGCATCTATCTCAGTGTCTGTGGTGATCTGGCAGTTTTCTGTAAATACTTGCTGAATGAAGAGACATAAATAATTTGACAGAAGGCAATCGGGAACTTGGGTGACAGCAGGGGAAATAACTGCTCCGTGACTGAGAAAACCACAGTTCGCCTTGTGAGATCTGCGGGGGAAGCTTGTGTGTCCAGTGTCACCTGTCTGCGCTGGGCCTGCATCTGCCAGGGGCCAGTGGGACTGAGCTGATCCTCAGGGAGGACAGAGGGTGGCTTTGCCCAGAGGGGTGGCCTGACCTCCTGGCTGCCTCTGGCAGACACGATCCCTCAGGCCAAGTGCACAGCTGAGAGGCAGGAGAGGCCAGCTCTAAACACCCACGCTGAGTCTTCTGGAGGACAAACTGCCATTGGCAGGTGAAATGATAGTATGATGGGGGGTGGGGATCACAGCTCTTGCCAGCTGTGAACATGGAGATCCGAGATGGGGGCCAGGAGAAGGCAAGGTGGGATCTGCCCTGGGAGCCTTAGAGGCTGATCACCCTCTTGGGGGAGGGAAGGATTTGGAGAATGGGTGGGGGTCGGGCAGAAGAGGCAGGGAGACCCAGGCTTGAGAAAGAGGGCTTGCAAAAGAATGAGGGCAACCCCCAACCTCTAGGATTAATACCTCATTAATTCTCCATAAAATGTCCCAGCTCTAATGTTGGTGGCCTTCTGCGTTGGCCCATTTCTCTCCTATCTACGAGGCACCTTGACAAGGAGTTGGTTCCCTTTCATGGGAATAATCGGTGCCAGGCTGCACTTCACAGCAGCATCTGTTTGGGTGATGAATGCCCTCTTGACATGTCTTGTTAAACCCCTGCAATCATTCTGACTTTCAATTATGGGCCTAGCACCTTTCCTCTCTCTTCCCGCCTGATACCTTCCCCCACTCCAACTTGTTCGTTCACCTCTGCTTCCATCTCTTTAACACCTTATCAAGTCCTCTCAGTTTTCTCCACCACCACCTCCCCTTCATTTATGATCTCTCAGCAATGAGAAAATTTGCTGCCGGAGTGTACAGCAGCTGAGCTGGGTGGGAAGAGAGGTCGGGGAGCTGCCTCCACCTTTAGCTTTGCCTGGAGAAGGAGACAAGGGGAGCTGATTGGCTGCAAGGATGCGTTGGTGGGGTATTCAAAATGGGAACTCTGGAGCAGAGCACTGGAAGGGCAGTTAAGTCACAGAGAATGGATTGGTACCTGCTCAGGGATTGGATGCTAGCTGTCAGCACTAGCTGGAGCTTGTAGGACCTTTGATCTATGTGTCTACATCCCCGTTCACCTCTTCTCCTGGAGACTGGAGCTTGTCTCTACACTGCTGAGAGGAGGAGAAATCAAACCTCCCATTCCTGGGCAAGGCGAGTTGGGGGAGGTACCAGGTGGGGAGAAGTAGTTGAAGGGCAGACTGATTACGTCCACAAGCTTTTATTATGTGCCCCAGTCCTTGCAGACACAGACAGATGGTTACAGTGGTGTAGGAGCCTGAGTGAGTGGTGCCCGCAAGGGCAGTGGGAACACAGAGGAAGGGGTGCAGTCTCAGCCAGGCAGCACGTAGGGAGGCTGGAAAGGCTTCACAGACAATATCTGAATGAGTATTGAGGGACCGATAGAGTTCTGCAGGTAGAGAAGGGGGACAGGGCACTTCAGGTGGAGAGAACTGGCAGGTGCAAAGGCCCTGAGGCAGAGGACAGATGAGCTCAAAGGGAGGAAGGGGATCAGGGCTGGGAGCCTGATACTACTTTGGATGGATTTTACTCTGTTTCTTATTATAGCTATTCATTTACTTGTCTCCTTCCCCCTCTAGATCCTCAGTGCCTTGTATATGGGGGGTGAGAGTGGGGTAGGGTGATCTTACTCAAGTCAGGGTCCCCAGCTCTTAGCACCAGCCTGACCCTTAGCAGGGGCTCAATTAATGATCACTAGATTGAGCTGAATGTTTAAGATGGATGTGGGATTAGAGGTGACATGCAACATTAGTTGTGCAGACTGTGACTTGTTCTCTCTCCCTGGGGCCTGTGGCGCCTGGAGGGAGCAGGGCAGCCCAGAGTCCCCTGTGGGTGGGGGTGGGGGGCACAGGGCAGAGGCTGCACTCACCAGCGCTGGCCGCAGCATCCACGAAAGTGCCATCACCCCGGTTGTGGAAGAGGAAGTTGGGCCCGTTCTCATTGTCGCAGAAGATATCCGAGGCACTGCTGCTGAGGATGGGGCCCACGCTGACGCCCCGGCCCCCTGGAGAGGACATTGACCTTCACTAAGCCGAAGAATCAAAGCCCTAGGCCCGCATAGAGGATGGGGGAGGCCTTGGAGGCAGGCGGGGGGCCCTAGGGAAGCTGCAATAGTGATGCCCCAAGGAGCCTGGGGAAGGGGGATTCTGATATTTATGATGTTCCTTGGAGCCCAGATCTGGGCTCATGGTTCCATAAACCGATGTAGTGGGTGGCTGCACTGCTGGTGAGGCAAGTGAGGAGCAAGACAGAGTCATTTAGTGCCCACGGAATGAGTCCATGAGTTGAGGAACACAGGCCACCATGCAGAGCTTTCCCTTCCCTTCGGTGACTGAATTCTACTCCTAAACTCACTTCTGCTGACAACATTTTGATTAAGTCACAGATTCCCTGACAGCCCCCTGCCTTACCCTGATTGCATGTATGCTGGTCAAGATACTGGGTGTGTTCCCATTCTAAGGACCTAGAGAAATAGGTTCCAGGCACAGGTACAAGGATGCCTCCTTTGCTTTGACTGATGTAGGAAACAAACATGAGCACCTGCCTGTCTGTCCATCAACAGGGATGCTGAATGGATTACAGTGCATCCATATGACGGCCAGTCTGCAGCTGCTAAAAAGACTGTGTAGATCCATAATATTGACTTGGAGGAATGCCCATGACATATTGTTAAATGAAAAAGCAATTTGCCAAGTAATGGTATCATATGATCCTGTTTTTATTTTTTAAAAGGAAAACAAATTATATTCCTGAATATATGTTTGTGCAAACTTGTTCTTGAGTTTTGGGAAAAGTGGGGAAGGCCACACCCTGAGCTGTTCACACTGGCTGCCTTTTTGGGGGAATGTCTGTATTGTTTGGCTTATTGCAATAAGAATTGCTTCTGCAGTTTGAAAGGAAAAAATCCAATAAAGTGTATATTTTTTAAGGAAAAAAAGAAAGAAAACCAGCTCTATGTTAGGGTTTGAAGTGCCCAAGATCGATGTGGACATGTCACCAAGTCCAATCTTAAGATATCTTGAACAAACCACCCCCAACCAATGAGTTTCAAATAAAGCCCTGAAAGCCTTCCCTCTGTCCCACCCCCACCCCAAGTTCAGGGCGGCAAATAGGGTGACCACAACCAGGATGTGGGTTCTAGTCCCAGCTTGGCTTTTTTGATCTTGGGCAATTCATGTTACCTGGTTAACCTCAGTATTCTTACCTATAACATGCAGATAGTGTGACCTGCCTTTTCTCTTTCAGGCCTTTTGAGAGGATCAAATGAGGTGAGAAAACTAAGAGGATCAAATGATGGGAAAGGTCTCTGTGAGCCCTACAACTTTGCTACTCAGAGTCAAGTCCATGGACCAGTTGCAGGCATGTCACCTGTGAGCTTGTCAGAGATGCAAAATCTCAGGTGCCTACTCACCCAATCAGGACCTGCATTCTAACAGGATCCCCGGGTGGTTTATGTGCACAGGAAAGTTTGGAAAGTACTGCTCTGAAGGGCTGTTTAGTACAATAACTGCAGTTTATTAGGGCACTCAGAAGAATGTGATTTAAAAAAAAAAATAAATGAGAGCTCAGTGGACCTGACTGATGCTGGGTTAAGCTCCCTCATTAGCCCACCTCCAGACAAGGCAGAGGTTTCCACTATGGATGATGTGAAGAACTGACTCATTTGAAAAGACCCTGATGCTGGGAAAGATCGAAGGTGGGAGGAGAAGGGGACGACAGAGGATGAGATGGTTAGATGGCATCACTGACTTGATGGACATGAGTTTGAGTAAGCTCCAGGAGTTGGTGATGGCCAGGGAAGCCTGGCATGCTGCAGTCCATGGGGCTGCAAAGAGTCGGACATGACTGACTAAACTGAACTGAATTTGGGATGGAGGTTCTCTTGGTCCCCAGGCCCTTCTCTTCTCTGAGATTTGTCCTTGGAGGAAATCATGGGACCTTTCTCACCTGTGGAGCCTGACCACCAGGGGCCAGCTTTGGGGGCAGGGGAACAGACTGGGGCAAATGGCATTGCTACAGGGGTCATTGTAGGGCTCCTTGTTAACAGATTCTGGGCCCTGTGCCTCCCGATTCCTCCCAGGTAATCTAATTAACTCTCAAGGAGAGCCGAAGCCTCATGAAAACAGAGTCATTGAATCCACGGTGCTTCCAGGAAGTGTCATCCAAGTTGCACAGGGCAGGCATTTTCATTAGGAGAGCCACGCACGGGGCTTTCAGATGCTTTTCTTTTCCTAAGTCAGCAGGAAGGGTGTTGGGCTAATACCTGGGCACCTCTTCTGCCCATTCAAGGAGTTGCCGTTAAGTGGTTGCTGGTCCTGCCCTTGTCTTGCCAGACTCCAGCCCAGGAGCAGGCTTCGGTGAGAAATCCTCCATCTTGTCTGGACCCCCAACAATTCCAGGTGGGGCTTCAGGACTTGCTGCCCTGCAACTCCATCCTTCTTCCCCTGCTCCAGCATCCTCCAACTTCCTCTCTGCCTCTGACTCCCAAGCTGTGACACATTCCCTTCATTTTCTCCAAAGCAGGTTATTTCCCTCTTGGACAAATTTCTAAATCTTTCTAATTAACTAATTGGGTTGGGTTGAAGCCTTGCACCATTTGTAACCTGTAATTACTAGAAAATTGCCATGGTAACCACACTACTAATTAGTGGCAATTTATTGCCATGGCAACTGGACCATAACAGAGATGTTACCCACAACTCCTTCTTGGCAAGTTCACCACACAGTTGGGGAGCAGGTGAGTCAACAATCGGGGAGCTAGCCTCCTGGGCACCAGCTGTAGCAGACTCAGGATGGAGGGTCTAAGGGGATCTGAAGCAGGGGCAGCCAGGTACCTGTACCCCTCTCTGAGGCTGAAAGGGGAACTCTACTCCCAGGTCCATCTGGTAAGGGCTCTTAGGACCAATAAAATCCATCCATCTTAAGTGTAGCCTGACCCTCCCACTCCATGCCCGGTCGATGACAGAGGCCCGTTATTCAGCAAGTGTCTTGCCTAGACCGTGCCCTCTCCACCAGCTCTTTCCCTGACTTTGCCCCATCTTCTCTGTCACACCCACCCTGTTCCGTGGCCTCTGAGGTTTAGCACACACCCTATGGGACTACCCCAGGGCAGTTAGGAACATCTTTATTCAGCCTTGGAAAATGATGTCCCAATAGGGAGTTAAACTCTACTTTACATCAATTAATTACTTTGTACTTGAGGCCAGAATATTCTCTTGGGGGCATGCAGCTCTGCAGTTGGGGCCAGAAAGGCGCATTGGTGATGGGAAAGATTGGGGGGGAGTGGTCAGGAAGTTAGAGTTGTGTGACCTTGGGCATGTCACTGAGTCTTTTCAGGCATCTGGTTTCTCACCTATAACTCGAGACTGATAATAATAACCCCTTCTCAGGCTGTCATAAGTATTAAGTGAGCTGGTATTTGGAAGGTACCTTGGAAAACGTCAAGTGCCACAGACTCATTAGTGCCACTGTTTCCCACCTGCTGGGAGAATAATATCCCTTTATTTTGCCAACACACTCAAGCTTCAAAGACCTCTTTGTTCTGCTGCTGAGTATGAATGCAGCTCCCTCCCCACCCCTTCCTGAAGGCTTCTCACTCTGCCCACCAGACTGGCTGGGAGAGAGGGTCACAGGGGGAAATGCTTCCCTATGGTCCCCTCTTTCTCCAGTCAGTTTCAGGCACCCCCCTGATGGTCAGCTCCGTGGGTCTGAGCCCACGGGGCAAGCCTTGCTCATCCTTAAGAACTTCACCCCTAAACCTCTGAACCTTACACTTGGGAGATGCAGACCCAAGTCCAATTTAGGTGCAGAGGGCGTCAGAGGATGAGATGGCTGGATGGCATCACTGCTTCAATGGATGTGAACTTGGGCAAACTCTAGGAGATGGCGAGGGACAGGAAGGTCTGGCGTGCTGCAGTCCATTGGGGTCGCAAAGTGTGGGAGAAGACTGGGCGGCTGAACAACAACAATCCATCTCTCAAACCACATGAGGGCAGCCCTCATGGCTGAGGGTGGGGAAGGGAAAGAGGGGTTGTAGAAAGCTGGGGGCATGCTGCTGCACCACCCCAAACAGTACAGCAGAGGGGCCGGGATGAAGAGGCGCGTGATTCGCTGTGCTAAGGAGCCCCCAGGGTCTGCCTGGAGCGGCAGGAACTTGGGGAGTCTGCCCGCCAGGCCTTGGTCTCCCTCCCTGCGAAATGGCGTCGGGGTGGGCTGAGAAGGTCTCCAAGGCTCCTTCCAGCTCTACTTTTCAGGGCATCCTTCAAGCCGGACCTCAGGATAAATGTGGCTGGGAGTGGATTCCTGGGCCCATTCACAGTCCGCACCATGGAGGCTCTGCAGTGAGGCTGTCAGACAGGGGACTTGGACCTGTGGGATTATTCTGCTGATTAATAATTCCAGTGGATACTAAGGCCCGCAGGCTGCCAAGAACGCCCAAGATATTAAAAGAGTAGCAAAGCAGTGGAACATGAAGGGGTGGAGGAATGAACAGTGTGTGTGTGTGTGTGTGTGTGTTGGAGAACAGGTGTGAGAAGGGCAGGATGGTAACAGCCCAAATTTCCTGAAGCTTCTAACACAATAATACTGTGTTGGTGCTGGTGTTGCTACCGCCAACCCTGTTAGAGCCGTCCAGGTGCTGGGCAGAGTTCTGAGTGTGCCAGTATAGACGGTGTTAGACAAGGATATTCCCACTTGTCCCTAATCCCTCCAGCCAGTCCCTGCAGAAGATTGAGGGGGTGGGGAGGGGCAGGAGGACAGCCTCCATCACGTGTCTGCTGGGTGGGGATTTTCAAACCTTGGGCACCTGGTGGGTGCAGGAGGGAAGTCCTTCTCTGTATGCTCCCCTGCCCTGCCCCCAGGCAGGGCTGGAAGAACCTATTTCAGAAGAGAGGATAGGAAAAGGAGGGCAGGAAGAGACACTCTGTGGTTCAGTCCTGTGTCCTAGGTTTTTTGTGATTCACCTCACCTCACCATTTTCTAGGTGAGGAAACCAAAGCTCACAGAGGTATAATCTCAGCTACGGGGCAATGGATCATAGCTGAAACCCATGCCTGAGCGACTCCAGAGCCACCCTCTCCCCATAGGGCGCTCTCAAACATTTCCACTCGAGTTACCTCTCTGTAGAAGAGGGGTCTGTACTCCTGATAAGGCTCCAGAATGGCCAGCCATAATGAGCTTGACATTAAAAAAAAAACTCAGTTGTTTTAGCTGAAGAAAATGCATACCAAGATTGCATTTGTATTCTGTAATACATCTGTGCTTGCTTTAAATTAAAAAAAAACAATGTCCCTTCTTGTCAATCATCTAATGCATCTGACACTCTGTGTTGGCTGGGGCTTTGGGTACCCCTGGTAGGCCTGTGGTTGCACTCCCTGGGGGTCCCAGGCCCTGGCTGAGGAGTCTGTCACTCTTGCCTTGCCTGTCCCCAGCTGACACATTTGGCTGCACTCCCACTGAAAGGCTAGCACCCGCCTGGGAACCCGGGAGGCTCCGAGGTCCCCAGGCTACCGCCCCTTCTCTGGAGCTGGCTGGTGGGGATCCGCCAGAAGGCCTCAGCTGGGCTTTAGGCATCTCTGTCTCCAATAATGACTTTCTATAAATCAGATCTGCCCACTGCTTTGTTCTACACTGCTCCTGGCCAACAGCAAAACTCTCTACCCAACATCATAAATCCACCTTCATTTTCTTTCCAAATTTCTTTTAAGGCTTCTTTAATCACCACCTTGCAGCCTGGATGGATGCTCCCTAAAAGGGTGAGGCCAAATCGCAGAGGTCCTGGGAGGAAGTAGAGGTGGGGAGAGGCAGGGTCCAGAGGGAAGAAGGGAGAATAGAGGGATTCCAGTGGGAATGGGGCTAAAGATGCCCACACCTGTGCCCTGGAGGACACGCCGGGGAGACACGTGGAGAAAACCTCCAGGGTAGGGGCTGGTCCTACTTGCTTTGTGCTTCCCCCTGTGTTCAGACAGTAAAGAATTCACCTGCAGTGTGGGAGACCTGGGTTCCATCCACGGATTGGGAAGATCCACTGGAGGAAGGCATGGCAACCCACTCCAGTATTCTTGCTTGGAGAATCCCCATGGACAGAGGAGCCTGGCAGGCTACAGCCCATGGGGTCCCAAAGCGTCGGACACAACTAAGCAACAAAGAACATGGCTGTGCTCCCTACACTCGGGAAATGACCAGCATCCCTCTGTCAGAACCTCAGAGGAGGGTGTTGATGTCCGCCACACTTGTGGGTACTGTGTGCCACGCCCTGTGCCAGGCATGCCTATGTTTACCTCTTTTAACATTCCCATTTTGCAGGCAAGAAAACTGAGGCCCAGAGAGGTTAAGTTGCTCTCTATTGCCTGGGCAGGAGGACATGGTGGAAGCAAGATCTGCACCCAGCACTCTGGCTCCAGACCCTGGCTACTTAGCAGTTCTGCTAGAGGGCTAATTCAAGGTGCTCAGAGAGGCCTGGGGACATGTCTGAGATCATTGGGGGGCCACAGAGGCGGCTGCAAAACTTTTGGTCCCCTTGAGTTCCTGACAGGCCCTCGGCCATGGGGAGAACTAGTTCTTAGGATTCCCATGCAGGGCAGTTCAGGCTACAAGAGGCTGCGGGCAGCTGGGGAAGCCGGGGCTAGGAGAACCCGAACCGCCAGGGAGTGGTCTTGCCGCTGCTCAACTCTGCATGGGAGGCTCGGGCAGCGCCTCCCTCCAGGGACCCTCGAGTCCCCCGAGAGCGGGCGCGCTGGCCGCTAGATGGCACTGTGACCCAGCAGAGCGGCGGCCGGCGGCGGAATCGGGAGTCTGGAGAGGATGCCTCCCCTCCCCCTCCCGCGGAGCCCGACAGCCCGGTGTGGGCTTCGCCATTGCCCGCCCTGCAGCCCGGGATGCCCGGGCCAACCCCCCTGCTTCCGTGAGCAGCCCAGGCCAGGCAGCTGTTTCAATTAGAAAAACCGGGAGTCGCATTTAAAGTCCAGAGGGCTAATCCCTGGGGCTGCGTTTCTGGTGGGTGCGCCTCTTCCTTCTTCACCAGCCCCTCCTGTCTTGCAGGCTGGAGCAGGATTCTCAAGTTGGAGGTCGTTTGAAAGGTCAGCTGATTCTGGTAGGTTAGGCATCATCGGCTGGGGCTGTAAGTGCTAATGTCTCTGCAAACCTCCAGTGTGACCTTGGGCAAGTCCTTTCTCCTCTCTGGACCTCGATTTGTTCTTTTGCAAACGGGCGGTCCTCTGTGGTCCATCCGGCAGATGGGTGTTGTGTGCCTTGGCTCCAGGGACATGCAGCTCTCTGACTGCGCAGCTGGCCGAGGCTTGCTTCCCTCCCAGCCTGTTCAGGCCCTGCTCCTCACTGTCTACATCTTTCCCAGGCCCCAGGGCACCCTCCTGGAGCTGAGTCTTGGCCATGTGCCAGAGCCTTGGCAATCAGGCCAGGCTCTGGTGGTGGCCGTTACCTTTGGGGTCCATTCCTGAGGGGGGGTCTGGGCTAGTTTTCCAGCCAGATGTCCATGTGTCGTGAACAGAGTGACTATGGGGGCTGCAGGGTAGCGCTGGGGGGCTTGGTGGGCAGGGAAAGGGGGGGCTGGGGAAGGCAGGCAGACAGAACAGTAAGTTGGTGGGCCAAATAGGTTCTTCTCAGCCAAATGGCTCTTGGAAATCTGCAGAGCTGCTCTAACGTGTCCTCTGGGCATGCCAGCTGCCCCGGCCTGCCTGCACGCTCCACAGAAACTGCTGTCCCTTCCTTGAGCTGTCCGGTCCCGCCAGTACAGCCTGGCGCAGCTGCCCGGTGCCCCCATCCCCACCTGTGCTCCTCAGCTGTCTTGTCTTGGAGACATCCCTGGTTTCCATCAGCCCTCCTTCCCCACCCCTGGTTCTGCCAGCCCCCCTGCCAGCCCCGCCAGCGTGAACAATGTCCCCTCATGCTCGCACCCTGCTGCAACCTTATGAATTCTTTGATTCTGTGTACAGCCCTCGCTCCCAGACCTTGCCTCCCTTCCAGCTCATCATTTTCAAGTGCTTCCTCTCCCCAGCCCACCCTCCTTCTCCTGCAGATCAAGGCACTTAATTGCCAAGCCAGCCCAGTGCACAGAACTGGGAACTATTCAGAAAAATTGACTGTGCAAGTCGAGGCTGAAGCTCCTGCATGTTTATTCCTTTTCCCAGGAAAACATGGTTTATTACTGACACTCAGCCTCTTTGCTGCTTGCTCCCATGCAGAGCTCTTGCACACTTTGATCGGGCTTGAGTCGTGTAAACTATTTTATTGTCTAGTCATTTGTTCCCACAAACTTTGTAAGACAGGCTAACATCAATCTCCCCCATTCACTGAGGTGGAGGGCTGGCTAGAGAAAGGCATCGTAAACTCAGGGGAGGCCGTGACAACCCTTTCTGGGGAGAACTTTGAGATTATGCCACCACCCAGGTGGCTGAAGGCAGGGGAGTGGCCCAAATGACCCTTCAAGGATCCTTCCAGCCCCCCAGACTTGGAACCAGGTAGGCCGCCACTTGGAATTCTGTAGTGCCAGTTGGGACGGACATATCAGGAAGGTCGACTGCTCAGAGAATTTCTACTTTCAAGGTGCAGGTAGGATGTCAATGAGGCCACAGTACACGTGAGAAGTTGTGTACAGCTCTGGCTTCCTGATTTTTGGCATCCTAAACAGGAACTAGATTGCTCTGCCATCAGCAGTCTATTGGCAGATTATCAGAGTTTAGTCAGCAGCCGTGCTGGAATTAGAAAAACAGCCTTCCCTAGAAAGATCTCCCTGTCAGAGACTCTGACAATAGGTCCCCCATCCTGAAAGATGTGGGGGGAGTGTGCTTTAAAAAAAAAAAGTGCTGGAGAGGTTTGGGAATAAGAACACAATTCTTTGAGCTCAGTTAGCTGAGACGGGACCCAGCTGAAGCTTAGGGATTTAGCACTCAATTCCTGGCTGCTTATGTGTAAGTAAATAATTTCATCTGCTGTTTGGCAATAAAAAATGCTTTAAATCTTGGCCTCTGTGATTTGTCAGTTTTCTCCTACAGAACCTGTTCACCCATCGCTTGGGTTACAGCAGGGAGTGGGGTAAGGGGTTCCAAGGAGAGAAAAGATGCGATGATCTTCTGGGCTATGTCTGATGTCACCCACTGTGCCCGCCAAAGCTCACCCCACCAGATGTCCCATCATCTGGAGAGGCGGCCTTGGAGGAAGCCGTCTGTGGGTGGTGGGATAGAATAAAACCTTCACTCTCCCTCCCCAGGGACACAGACCCGCCCTCTCTTGGCTGGAGCAAGAGAGGTGGTAGTCTCTGATGAATTGGACTCAGCCTTGCAGGGCCTGAAGCCTAGCCCCAGCCCCCGGCCCCTCCAGCTCACAGCCCCACCCCCCACCCTGTTCCACTCTGCCTACCTGTGTATTTGCTGACCCCAGCTTCAGCTGCTACATCTCTGAGCGCCAGGATGCCCCGGGAGAGGTCACTGGCCTCGGGGTCCATTTCGATGAGGGCGTCAGGGCCCACGTTACCGTAGGCATAGTTGGCGATGTAGATGGAGTAGCGTCCGGAGCCCTGAGCAGGCAGGGAAGGAGGGTCAGTGAGCAGGACCATCTGTGGGCCCGGAAGCAGATCCCACCTCCACTTACAGGACTGTAGCTCTTTCTCGGGGTTCGGGCTCTGCTCCTGGGGTCTGGCGTGCGTGACCTTGCACGACACAGCTCCAGAGGTGCTTTTTCACAGAGGCTACGAAGTGTGGGATGCCCCCAGCGTCCTACAGCACAGCGCTTCCCCTTCTCTCCTGTTCCAGAAGAACATCCCTCCCTCTCCCCCACAACCACCTTTTTATAGACAATTTTCTAATGTGCCTCCCTCCAGCTGAGCTCTCTCCAGCTGCCAGCCAGGGTAGCTGCTCAATAAATATTTGCTGATTGATTGATCTACCAATTCCCATTATTCTCAGTCTCTCTCTCTCTCCCATTCAAGCTTGCTCCAGCCAAGATGACAAGCAAATTCCTGAGCCATCTCCCTCCCCCACCCCCACCCCATACTTCCTCACTCCTTGATTTGGATGGCCCAAGAGGTTCGGCCACGCCAGGCTCCTCCTTCCCACTTCTACCCCCTTGCTTTTCCTGTACCAGAAAGAAATTGTATATTGCTTCTGCCTTTATAACAGTGTCTCAGATATATATATATGTATATTTCCCCCTTTGCATCCAGGAGAAGCCCTGGGCACCAGTTCCTTGTTACTGTAGTCATTCTCCTCTCTAGTCCAAAACACGGCTGATGAAAGATTCTTTCCTGCCTGTTATTATAATGGTGTTATTTCTTCAATGGATGCTTTCTTTCCCCCAAGAGATCCACACAATTTCTCAATCAGTTTTCTAGCTTTCCTCTTATCCCTTGCAGCATTTCCCTCCAATTAATCAGACAGTACATATTTCTTGAGCTCCAACGATGTGCAAGGTCCTGGGTTATAAATGTACTTCAGACAAAGTCTTTGTCCTTAGGTTGCTTATAGTCTGGCTTTAAGGAAGCTGACAAGCTACTGTATAGCACCGGGAACTATACTCAATATTTTGTAATAACCTGTAAGAGAAAAGAATCTAAAATATATATATATATATATATATATGTATGTATAGATGAATCACTTTGCTATATCCTGAAACTAACACAACATTGTAAATCAACTATACTTAAATAAAAAATAAAATTAAAAACAACAACAACCAAGGAAGCCATGAGCACAAGACAACCTGGGAGAAACAGCTGACTTTAAGACAGCACAGCGTGCTCTGTCACTGCCCTCTTTTCAGCTCTCTTTGCTTTCTTGTATTTTCTCCCCAGTGGTCCCATGAGAGCCCTCTCTCGCCTAACTGGTCACTTTGTCCCTTTGGAACCATTTTCTTCGGGGAAGTTGATGAAGAGCCACCTGGGGCTAACAGGTGGGTGAAGCAAGGAAGGTGCTTGAGCTCTCCTGGAGGAATCAGACGTGTCAGCAGCTACAGGTGTGATTAAGACTGGGTACAGGGTTTCCCCAGAAGGGCTCCTAACCTAGAGGAAGGGCACCTGGCCATAGCAAGTTCAGAAAAGGTTTTCTAAGAGGAGTCTCGGCCAGGTGAAGTGGAGGGGAAAGAACCTTCCAGGCAGAGATGAGACAAAGAGTGATATATATCATATGTTGGGAAGCCGCAAACAGTTTGTTCAATGTTCCCAGAATATAAAATGCAAGGTGTGGCATGTCAGGGCAGGAAACTGGAGAAGGTGGCAAAGCTGTTCCATAAAGACTTTTCTGCCTCTTCATTTCTGGTTCTCTGGGTCTCTAGCCTGCTACCTGAATGATGTTGTAAAGCAGTGCATCAGTTTTGCCTAGGGATCATGTGGGGATCTTGTGAAAATGCAGATTCTGATTCGGCTACCCAAGTCTTGTTACTCAAAACGGTCCCTGGGCCAACAGCATCAGTGTCACCTGGAAGCATGTTAGAAATACGGACTCTCAGGTTCCAGCCCGGACCTGCCGAATCAGAATCTGCATTTTCAGAAGATCTCCACATGATCCCTACGCAAAACTGAAGTCTGAGTTGCACTGCTTTACAACATCATTTGTGGTTAGGGAGAACTTAGAAAGATTCTTGCCCATCCCAGGAGCTTGGTGTACGTGTGTGGAATGACTGGATGAAGGGTAAAAGGATGGGGCCAAAGGGGAAAGTGTGCCTTTACCATGACGCTGCCTGACCCTACCAGCTGTTTGCAATCTCATCGACAAATGGGCAATTAAGCCCAAATGAACTGAAATGCACTCTGCTAGAAATCAGGATATTTATAAAATGCGGTTATACCTAGTTCCTTACATCAGTGTATTGGGTTGACAAAACAGAAAAATTGTAGATGTGTTACAGTTATAGAAGAATGCAGAAATTCACCTGTGAACTTGACCACAGTAATTGTGGGTGGGGGAGCTGATTCCAGGGGAAGGAAGATGTTTCTGCAGCTTTGGGTCCAGGGCAGTGGGACCCATCCTCTAGTCTACCTCAGAATCAAATGGCAGCAGGCAGGGGGCAGGGTGGTGGTGGTATGAAAGCAACATGGATGCTGGGTCCTATCCCCAGAGTTTCTGATTCAGGGGGTCTGGAGGGCGCCCTCAAATCTGGATTTCTAACAAGTTCCCAGGTAAAGCTGGTGCATCTGTTTCAGGAACCACACCCTGAAAACCACTGGTCTAGGGCTGTCAGTCTGGATCCTAGTCCAAGCTCGGCCCCTAACTGGCTCTACATCCTTGGGCAGGTTCCTCACCCACTTTGGCTGCACCTCCTCACGTGTTACATGGGAATCGTAGCCCCCCTGCTTCCTGGCAGGGTCGTTGAGAAGATGAAATGAGACAACGCATGTGAAAGGACTTTGAAAAGATAAAAATGCTATATAAACATGAGGCATAATCATTATCGATCAGGGAACGCTTCTTGTAAGAGATTGGCTTTGGGCTGGATCCAGAAAGGTAGATGAGTGATGAGGCAGCTGAAGACGAAGGGCAGTGGTGTTCCAGGTTAGAGGCAGAGAATGGATGAGGGCTGCGAGGTGAGAGGGAGAGAACAGCACATTGTAGGGTTGAGACTTTTACCTGGTGCAAAGCACCCAAGCTTAGCACACATCAGAGTCACCTTTGGGCCTAGTTGAAACCCAGGCTGCTGAAACCCCACCTCCAGTGGTTCTGATGGGTAGGTCTGGAGGGTGGGGCTTGAGAACCTCTATTTCCAACAGCGCTGATGCTGCTGGTCCAGAGACCACCAATCAGGTACCAGCTAGGGGCTGTAGGGCAAAGGCTGTAATAGAACCTGTGGTTAGAAATGTGTATTTGGTACAGGTTTACCCAAAGGCAAGGTAGCAGGGAGGTAAAAAGGTGTCTGATTATTTTCAACTAGGCAGGACTCAATCTCTGGCTTTGCCTGTCACTTGTTATATGGTGACGAGGTCAAGTTGCTTAAGTGCTAGAAGCCTTAGTTTCCCTATCTGTAAAATGGGGATAATGACAGCATTTACCTCATTGGCTTATTTGAAAATTCAGTAAGATGGTGAATGGAAATCACTTAGCACAGAGCTTGGCACGGGGCTAGTTTAATAAGCATAATAGCTATTATTATTAGTGTTTTGTTATGTTAATATTATATTCCTACTTTTGCGATTGCTCTTGTGTTTTCCTGCACCACACTGCATCCCTGTCTCTCAGCTGCCACACTGGCCTTGACCTCTGCACAGTTCTCAGGCCTCGGGGGTTGCCAGGGTGGTGGCTGAACACAGACAGTAGCCCCTCTTCTGATGGCAGACAGACCGTGGGGGCGCTTTCTAGTTCCCTGAGGCTGGGTGTGAGTAGGGAGTGAGCGAGCCACTAAGTGCCTGCCTACTGTGCTTCATGCCAAAGTGTCTTCTCCCCCCCTTTTTTCTTTTTGCACTTCACATGGTGCCTCTGTCCTGTGGTTAAGTGCGTGGGTATGTAGGTGACCTTGTTAGGACAGACTGAATCTCTCTGTGATTAGCCTTCAGACCCTCCTACCAGTGCTGAGAAGGTTCCCACCTTAGCTGGGGGTGGGGCGCCCTGGTCATGAAGGGGCTAAGGAGACTGGAAGCCAGGAGGAGACGGAAGAGGCCTCTCAGAGGCCAGGCCTGGTGGCCCCTCCGCCCCCCAGATCCTTCCCACTCCCTGGGGCTCTCATGGAGCCTCCTCCCCGTTTCCTCCCACCAGGCGGGAGTCCAGGTGGCACAGATTCAGGTCAGGGCTAAATGTGGCTTCACAGCGCAGCTTGGCTGCCCTTCCCAGCACCAGCTTGTTAAGAAATAAATATTTATACCTGGCACCTGCCTTTTCCCAAGGCCTGGAGGCCCCTACTGTGAAGATTCACTCTGAATCCCCAACCCCTTTGATGCCATCTCCAATCCCAGATGAACGAGTTGGCCCCCTCGCCCCAGCTCCCAGAATGGGGGCCAGAGACGCTCCCGGGGAAGCTGGGCAGCAGCTGGGTCCCTGATTTAGTGATGATGTTTTGTAAAAGCCAAGGAGGGGCGGCAGGGGAGCAGGTGACAGGAGGGATAAATCACCGCCACGCCACGCTCTGGCTCTGGCTGGGTTGGCTGGGATGCCCGGGCGGGGCCCCCTCACAGGACGGACGGTTGCAGCTGCTTCTTCCCTCCTCACTTGGCCTTTCTCCCTGACACTCTGAGTTGAGCACCAGTCTGCCGGGTGGACCAGCAGGGCAGGAAAGTATCTAGGGTGCTTTGGACTAGCTAAACTACTTGTACGTTCAGGCAACCCTCCGCTTACCCGCTCATGAGCCTCTATGCCATGCCTTTGTTCCATAAGTATTTATGGGGGAGGGGGCCTGATGGCTCAATGCCTGGCACATAGTTGGCACTTCATAAATGAGTTGAGTTGAATTCACGAACACAAGGTTAAGAGCTGACAGATGCTGATTCATGTCTGAGGCACACCACCAATCCATGTGGGTCCTCAGGCAGGTCCCTGCTCCACGCTGGGGTTCAGTGCCCTCCTCCGTCCAGTAGACACAAAGATGACAGCCCCCGGTTGCCGGGAGGGCCTCAGGGGAGAAAGGATGTGAAAGTATGTTAGCACCTACTATGTGCAAGGCCCCCTGGGAGTGGCCTTGAGCTCTGCCCTTGGGAGCCATGCTCTGTCTGGGGATGTCTGCTGGGGATCCCCTCCTGGCCATCATGCTGCTGTGTGCCTCCCTTCTCCCCAGGCCCCCATGTACCCCTGGACTCACCTTCCTGTCCACGCAGGCCACAGAGCGCCCGGCAAAGAGGCTGGCCACGCCGCGGGCCACATTGACCTCGTCACTCAGGATGTCTTCCCAGCGGTTATTGCGGAACTTGAACAACTTGTCCGTGTACGTGGCCACCCCTGGAGAGAGGAGGGAAGAGAGGGCTGGTGGTCGGTGGGGTGCCTGTCCCAGGTGTTGGGGCCACAGGTGGATGGGTCACCTGCTGCACGGTGAATGCTCCTCACAGCCCTCAGGCAGTGGTGACCCCTCTCCTGGGGACACCCAGTTATTCTCAATTGAGAGAAGACACTGAAGCTTATGAAGATGGCCAGCCCAGGCTTCAGGAACTTTGGAAGAAGTGTGACTGCTAGTGTGGGTCAGAGCTGATCCTCAATAGCAGGATCTCACAGTCTGCACCACACTTCTGTGGCATCAGGAGGGACATCCTGGGATCGCCAGTATTTCACATCCAGACTCAACCAAGAATGTCTCTTTTTTTCTAGGAGCTGCTCCCTGCATGCTCTGCTCAATCACAGGACCTGATGTGGGTCTCAGAAGAAATGGTCCCGGTCAGTGGGCAGGTCTCGAAATCCAGATGGAGGGCGGGGCTGGGAGTTGAGCTTTGACAGGGGTATCACCAATAGCCTGAGAAACCTGGATGACAGTGGGGTCAGCACTCATGGGGTGAGGGTTAGTGGAGAGGCAACGGACTCAGACTGAGGGGAGCTGATGATGCAGCAGCTAAAATTTGGGGTTTTGAGTAAACCAACCTGAGTCTCAGGCTCCGTTCTACAGAGACTCTTCCAGATTTTAGTTGCTGACTGTGGGCAACTTGAGCCTCAGTTTCCTTATTTGGAAGTGGGGATAACAATAATAACTACATTCCACTTTAATTTGAGGGATAAATGAGATAACTCAGGTTAGAGGCTGAGCGCAGCGCCCCTCCAGAGTTGGGGGTGGTCCTCGACAGAAATGACTATTCTGGTTTCATAGACGGGAGACCCTCTGAGGTGCTTCAGGGACTTCAGCCCTGCATTGCAGGGGTGTGTCGAGAGAGTCTCAGTGTGTGAGAGAGTGTGTGAAAGTGTGTAGGAATAAGCAGGAGTAAGTGGGTGTATGAGAACAAGAGTGAGTAAAAATGAGTGAGCGTAAGTGTGAGATTGAGTGAGTGTGAGAATGAGCGTGACAGTGAGTGACAGGACAGTGAGTGCATGAGTGAGCATGTTTTGGTGAGGGCTATTTATGGAAGGGTCCTCAGGGGCCTCTGACTCGGGGGGGACAAACGCTGCTCTGAGTGGCCTCACATGGGGCCCTCCTAAGGCCACGGGGACCCACAGGGGAAGGTGCATTCTCTGTAGGGCCTGGACTTGACCCCAGGGACAGCTGCCAGACTCTGGGGAGCTGCCCAGGGACAAAGCCATGCCATCTGGCCTGGCCCTCCCGGGAGTGCAGAGACCGGTTCCCACGAAGGGGAAGGCGATTCCCGAGTGGAACGGGAGGCAGATCTAGGAGTCCTGCAGGTGTCTGGGTGGTGGGGGAGACCTGGGCTGAGGAGCCGAAGCCAGGGTTTGCCAGAGCTGCTGTGGCTGGTGGGGGAATGCCCACTGGGGCTCCCAAGAGTCTGCACAGAGCTGCTGTGGCTGCTGGGGGCCCACTGGGGCTCCTGGGGGTCTGCCAGAGCTGCTATGGTTGGGGGTGGTGCCCACTGGGGCTCCCAAGGGTCTGCCAGAGCTGCCGTGGCCGGGGTAGGTGCTCACTGGGGCTCCTGAGGAGCCCGATCAGGATAGAAGCGCAGGTGTGGACTTGGCCCAAGCCCATGTCCAGCTCTGATTCCCATTTGTCCGAGCCAGTTCTTTATTCTCTTAGGGCCTTGGTTTCCTCATCTGAGAGTTGGGGGTAACAGCTGGTCCCCCCACTCCCAGCATGGCTGTGGGAACTGCAGGGGAAAACTCTGCGGCCCCTGTTTGCTCTGCACCACCTGGGTCTCTAGGCCCTTGTTGCAATCCCTGGGGAACAGATATGTTTAGAAACTTAGATTATTTTCCCTTTCACATTTCAAAAAGGTAACACAACGCACACCCTGTTTATTATATAACACCCCCAGCAGGAACCAGGGCAACACCCTGTAATTAAACACATTAATATTTCTGCAGTGAAATATATGAATATCACACCGAGTGGGATAAATAAAGCCCATAAATAGCTCACATCAGCTCAGGACAGGTTTTGCTATCAATTCACTTTCCCACAAACTTAAAAAAAGCACTTGAGGCTTTCAGAGTGTTCTGAGCTTCAGGACTGCGGGAGAGGAGCACGGCTACTCCCCAGGCAAGTGGCAGCCTTGTCATCGCCTTCTAATGCCTGGGGGGCCTCCGAGGATGGTCCTGCAGCTTCTGGATGCCCAGCCTTCACAATAGCGAGCGACCCTTGCCCTTCTCTGTCAAACCAGGGCCTCTTGAGACTACACCTCAGCTTGTCTAGTTCCCCCTGAAATTTGACCGAGATTAAACTCAACCAAAGCTTGGGCTGGGTGAGAAAGCAGCTCTGGCAGTTGGGGCTCTGCAGACCTCTGATGGGCCCCTCTGCATACAGTGGGAAAACTTTCTCAAACCTCTGAGTCCCTGCCTTAGCTAGGCAAGAGAAAAAAAACGAGCCCAGGGTGACTCGATCCCCCTCTATTTGCCTAATTACCCCCGATTCTTCCTGCTCACATTTCCCAAAGTGTGTTCAGTGGAATCTGGTCTCTCTGAGCTGCCTGGAGAAAAGATTTCATGATTATCTGAGCTTAGGAAAGGCTGCACCTTTCACCCCCCCACTTGGAGATTCTCAATGGACACCAGTCTATCAAAACTTTGAAAAGTCTTGCAGTATATTACAGGCTTAATTTCATGTAAGCCAGCCTTTCCCAAACACTCTCAGACATGGCACCCCTTTTTGCAGCTCACCTCTTAGAATCCTGCAGAACTACCAGTGTTCTGTGCAAATTGCTGCCCTGGGGTGTTGACATCAAGCCAGATGCTGGGCTTTGTGGCCAGAGGCGTTAGGGCAATACGTACTGTTAGCCTCTTCCCTCATTCCAGTCTCCTGGCTTCTGAGCTGACCAGGGACGCCCCAAAGAATAAACTAATTAAGGTAAAATGTGCAACAGTGATGCAGAGCCTTGTAGATCATAAATGGGAACGGCAAAATCAATGGCAGGCCTTCTGCCGGCAGAGGCCTGGAGGCCTGGGCGACAGGAGGGATGGGAGCCTGTGATTTAGGAAGAGCAAACGCTCTGGCAGCTGCAACCTGGGTAATTAGGTGTGTCAGAAAGACAGATAAACAGCGAGCTGTGCGGGTCGATGGCACTGGCAATAAACACCCAGCACTGGCCCCTGGCCCATGTCAGCGCATAATCCCACCTTCCGGCTCCTTGTAGCTACACTCTGCCCTAGGGTCCCCCACTGAGTCAGGGGCAGCAGCTCGGGAAGGAGAGGGCAGAGGGCCTCTCCTGGGTCCTGGGGGAAGATTCCTAGAAAGCAGAGGCCTGGGAGAAACAGAGGGCATTCAAGGGCAGGGTACGGGGCTCTGGAGGTCACATCCCCTGTGAGAAACAATCCTACCCAGAATCTGGTATGTTGGCACTAAGGGAGCTTTGAAGGTCTCAGTGTGTGCATGCTAAGTCACTTCAGTTGTGTCTGATTCTTTGGGACCCCATGAACTGTAGCCTGCCAGGCTCCTCCGTCCGTGGGAATTCTCCAGGCAAGAATACTGGAGTGGATTGCCATGCCCTCCTCCAGGGGTCTTCCCAACCCAGGTATTGAACCCGGTCTCTCATGTCTCTTACATGGGAAGGCGGGTTCTTTACCACTAGCGTCACCCGGGAAGCCAACCCAGTGGAAGGGCAGTTGTGGCAAGTGCCAGGTGGCAAGATACTGGAAGGCCCAGTAGAGGAGGCTCAGGGCCCCCCACTCCCTGCCCGTGCTGGGGAGGCCCCAGGGAAGTAGGAGTCTCGGTCCCTGACTCGGGGCGCTTATAGTTTATTAGCGGACAGGAGGGCTACAAAAAGGAGATGCCATGGGACTGTAGTAAAAATAAAACTACTTAACATCCCTATGGTGGTTTCTATATGCCATGAGCTTCACGTACATTCACTCACTAACACTTGCCACAAGCCTACAAGGTAAGTACTATTTTCAAGACCAATTTACAGATGAAGGACCTGAGGCACCAGAGGCAAGGGGACTTGCCTATGATCCCACAACTAGCAGAACCCCACAGAGATGATAGGAGAGTACATCCTGGAGATGCAGTAAAGTCAGTCACAGTGATCAGGGAGGGCTTCATGACAGAGGAGGCACTTGAACCGGGACGTGAAGCATCAGAGGAACAATAGCACAATTCCAGTGTGCAGAGCACATAGTATAGCCAGGCTCTGCATGAAGCACTTTTTTTTTTTTTTTTTTAAACAATCATCATCTTGCCTGAATCTCACACTGCCTTGAGAGGCACTGTAGCCCCATTTTACAGATGGAAAAATTGAGGGGCAGAGAGGTTAATTTCCCAAGAGCTAGTGTGTGGTGCAGACAGAGTTAAATCCAGGTCTTTCTGACTCTGAAGCCTACACTTCTGAGCACTGCACCCACAGCTTGTCAGGTAGAGCGGAGGAGGGAGGGTGCTAAGGGCAGGAAGGGAAACACAGAAAAAGACATAGAGGGGACACTGAGTCTGCCTAGAGGTGGGGTTTGTGCAGGGGCAGGAGGAGAAGCAAGGCAGGCCAGGAGAGAGCCGCTAATCCAGCACTGAGGCCGAAGGAGGCACGGGTGGTTTCTGATCTGGGGAAGACAATGTTTCTGGAAGATTCACCTGGCAGTGGAGTGAGGTGTGGGCTCACAGGGGAGATAGTGAAGTGGGGAGGCCACTTCTGTAGTAGCTCAGGCACGAGAGGTAACAGGGGAAGTGGGGAGAAGTGCTGGGTTCCAGAGGCTAGGGCGGGAGGTGCGGCAGGTCAGAGCAAGTCCACGGTGTGGGGGAGTGAGGGAAGTGGGGCATTGGGCCAGCTGGGGTGGGAGCAGGAGCTTGGCATTTTCAGGGATCGTAAGGTGGCCAAGAAGGCATGCCCAAGAGCTCGCTGGACACGATGGATGGCAGTTTGCAGAGA